CCGTGCCCTCTCTATAGGACTTACCAGGGACCCTTGGATCCATACTCAAGATCGAATTAATTAAAGAGTCTAGATTTCTATCACTGCAATTAATCTTGATTGACCTCTACAATAGTTAGATATAAATAATACATTTCTCTATGAAGACTTAAGAGGAATTATTGTACATGGATGCACACAACTCCAGAATTCAATGAGAAGTTCGACACAAAGGTGTGTAAACTAAAAAAAATTCTCATACGGGTTAAATTGGTCACCAAGAGCGTGATTTAAGAAATTTACACTCTTTGTTAAATGTCAGAGGTATACTCAAGGGCAAGGAGATCGTACAATATTTTTCAGACATTCAAAGGATGAGAAGAAAGACATACTGATTGTACTTGTGAACAATATAATTGTCACCGAAGATGATGCAGATGAAATGAACCGGTTGAAAACATCCCAATCATCATTTTTGGAGACCAAGGATTTATGATCTCTGAAGATTTTTTTTTTTTTGTGTTATTTGTTAAATGTTAGAAGTATAATTTATAGTAAAAAAAATTGTTCTAGCAAGTTAAACGAGTCGGGTTCAGGTTAACCGTTTCTTAGTGTAGTCGGGTTAGGGTTGAGTTTTTCACCCCGTTTATTTTTCGGCTCGAGTCGAGTTGACCCGATTCAGGTCGAATCATTTTCGGGTTGGACTCGAACCCAACCCACAAATTGATGTCTTTAATTGTTGTTTCTCAATGGAAGCATGTTCTTGATTTTCTAAAGCAAATCAGGATGAGTGGATGTAGGCTTGTATATGCTCCAATTGATCCCAATCAAGAAACTGGGAGATGTGAAGCAAGGTGACTAGATGAATACAGCTCGATATCAAAAGTTAATGGGAAAGTTTATATTGTTATCACATTCATAACCAAATATCACCTTAGCTATGAGTTTGGTAAGTCAATCTATGCATTCTTCCTCTAAGAAATACCTCGAAGCAGTTAGCAAGATTCTTGGATAGACCTAATAAGTGCACTGGGCAAAGGCTTACTCTTTTAGAGACCACACGATAGAACATGGAGGGATACATTTATGTAGATTGGGTGGACTTAGTTGTTGACAGGAGACCGACATTCTAATATTGTCTTATGTCTGGTAAAATGTAATTAAATAGCTAAGTGAGAAATAGTGTGGTGACAAGGAGTAGTGTTGAGGCAGAATATCGGGCTATGGCTAAGGGAGTACGTGGGATGTCATCGTTGAAGAGAAATCTTGAAGAGTTGTGAATCCCGAAAAACATGCCAATGCAGTTGTATTGTGACAATAAATGTCATAAGCATTGCAAAAAATTTAGTACAACATGATCGTACAAAACATTTGGAGATTGATAAACACTTCATGAAATAGAAGATTGATTGTGGAGTTATTTGCATGCATTTCACTCCAACAATGGAATATATAGCAGATGTTTTTACCAAAGGACTTTTCAAACCTAGTTTTGAGTTCTTTGTAACCAACTTGGGCATGATAGGTATCTATGCTCCAATTTTAGGAATTTTGCTTTTCGTGTCTTATATTTTTATTATTTTCTATTTTTAGTAGTTTCTACCAAATGCCTCACCCTAGACTTTGGCAGCCTATTACTAGGGGTGTAAACGTGTCGAACACGAGCTGAGCCTCGTTTATATTTCATACTCAAGAAGTGTGTTCTTGTTCGGCTCGTTTGCTTAGCGAGCTGAACACGAGCCGTTCACAAACAAAAAGTCGTTTTGACAACCCTAATCACGTAGTCATAAGATGTTAAGGATTGGGGCAAGATTTAAAACATCATTTGAATCTAATTTAATAATTTTTATTCTATTTTCTTCATTAATACTTTTAATTGATTATAAATCTTTGTAGCATTGTAGTCAATTAAATTTTTAAAAAAAAAAAAAAATACTACTCATCAAATATATATATATAATTGATTAGTAGTATTTCGAGTCAAAACGAGCTGAACACGAACTAACAAATATTGGTTCGTGTTGTTCGTGTTACGAGCTGAACTCGAGCTGTTCGTGAACAACGAACCGTTTTGACAGCCCTACCTATTACTCAGATGCATGCCCATCGTTAAACATGGTTTACTTACAGACTAAAAGATTCATGCCTAAAATTCTGCAACGAGAGATGGTCTGCAATTTTTTTCGAAAACTGTGATCATATGCTCAGGTTGAGTAGCGTAGCACAAATATTGGTTTCTTCTGTTGTCAGCCATATTTCTGAAGTCATTTATTTCTAAGATGTGTGCTACAGTGATACTAAAGGATTCCTATGTCCTATGTTGGTAATCACTACACGTTGCTGCTCTAACTCTGAACTGTATTATATTTTTTAATGAATTATTATTATGTCATATGTTTGTATGTATCTATGTCTGTCTGTCTGTATGTGTTTGTGTGCGCGCGCTCACGTGCGCCATAACATTTATCATTTGCTATTTCTATATTTACAAGTTCTCTATTTCAACAGTTGGGACTGTGGTATGTTCATGCTCAAGTACATAGACTTTTACAGCAGAGCTTTGCCGCTGTGCTTCACTCAGGTTAAAAATACTGTGCCACGCTTACTTCTGTTGATATTCAGATATGATTTAATGTGCTATGCGGAATACATTTTGTGCCTTGTTTCCTTACAGAAACATATAGCTTATTTCAGAAAGAGAACGGCCAAGGAGATCCTTGTACTGAGAGCTGAATGAAAAGTGGTTGCATCAACTGTGCATATTTTACCACCTACAATTTGGTATGTTGAAGCAGTATGGCTCGGCAAACTGATTTAGGCTCCAGTTGGATGATGTATGATTTTAGATAGAATTTATCTTGCTGCAACTCATCCTTGGAGAAAAGAGAGATTTGTGTCTGTGCAATGATACATATGCTTTTGCATAAAGGGAAGTTTACATTACATACCACACAATTCTTATGTATTTACAAATCTAACACGCCAAGTTTGATATTTATGTTTATATCACCTTGGTGTCATAACCCTATGGATGAAAATATGTATTTCACTTTTAAAACAATAGTAATGGTGTTATTTTTTATGTGATGTTAAATATTTGAATGATATGCACGTAGGGCTGTAAATGAACCAATGCACTCAATGAACAACTCAAACTTGACTCGATTAAGATTTAATCATGGTCGTTCAAATTGGTAAATAAACAGCTTGAAACTTTTTAAAAGCTCAAAACTTAATATTCTAGTTAATTATTTTTTTTAATAATATATCTTATATGATACACGAGCTATCATCACGATTAATATCGAGTATTTACTAAGTTGAACAAGAAACGAATTTATTTGTGAATATAAATGAACAGGTTTGATTATGTTTTAATTTAAATTAAAATATATTCAATATATAATGTTTTTTAAAAACACTCAAAATTATATCTTTATATATTTATTTATTTTTAAATACAATTTTATTGGTTTTAATATATATATATAATTTTTATTATAATAATGTGTCTGAGCTTGCTCATATCCTATACTTTTAATGATGGATGTATCATATCATGCCGTTTTCATATGGTAGAACATAAGAACCAATGTTTGAGGTGGCATGCAATTGTGTAGGACGCTCCGTTGGAGGATTTTTGCTTAGGTGTGAATTGAAGCGAACTAGTAGGTCGGAGTAGGAATGGAAAATGGGGTGATTTGCAAACACGATATTATTTGTGAGGATTTTAATTTTATTTTTGTATGTAATATTTTACTATATAATTGTTATAAGAATTTATATTTATTTCAGATAAATTATTGATAGTTATATTTTAAATGTTATTTAAAGATTAGAGGAGTTACATAAACAAATCTTTAAATTTTTGGACATTCGCATGCATGCCACTTAGTTTTGTGTATTTACATACATGGAATGTAATTTTAGTAGCATTAACACTTGTGTAAGAGTTGTAACTTTGAGTGATCAAATTATTAGAATGTGTGATCGGATATTTCTGGTCTAATATTAAAAATGATGGTGATATTGATGGGATGTCATTAATAGGATTCAAGTTGGATTGAAATGGAGGGATGCATCGAGCCTATTGTGTTATAGAAAAGTTTCCCTAAAATTGAAAGGAAAATTTTATAAGATGGTGGTGAGATATATAATATGTTATGGTGCAGAATGCTGGCCTTTAAAAGAGAAGCATAAAACATTGATAAGTGTTGCTGAGATGTTAATGCTTAGGTGGATTTGGCTTGGCACTTGGAGAAAAAACCAGAAATGAATATTTTTGTGATAGGGTTGGTATAGCTTCAGAAGTAGGCAAAATTAAAGTCATCTTAGATGATTTGGTTACATTAAACATTAATCATTCTGATGATCCTATTAGGAAAAATAGAGATAAAGGCAGAGATAGACCTAAAAAAACTTGAATATATTATATAAATAAATGATCTTAATATGTTATAATTAAATAAAAATATGACACTCAATATGATGCAATGAAAAAAAAAAGATTCATGTATCCAACCCTACTTAGTGAGTTAAAGGCTTGTTGTTACAGTTGTTTATATCTAACGCCTAAACTTTACCTTTTATATTTACACCACCCAAATTTATCATATCCAATCAAAAATATCACCATTTTAACATCTAAAAAATGAAATACACACAAGTAAAGATTGAAAGTTGTGCGTGAAGGGATTAAGTGGCATGCATGTAAATCTTCTCTTTTTTTTTTCTAAGGAAGTTGTGCGTGAAGGTCAATTATGCTAGAGTTGTATTTCAAACTGTCACTCAGAAAGAAAGATCTCCATCAACAGTAGCATAGCTCCACACAAAAGTCCTTAATATTACATAAAACATATCATCAATTCTAACTTTCTAAAAACAATAAATATTTTTTCATGCATAGGCGACATCTTATAAATATAAAAAATAAAATTTAGACTTCAAACATGTAAATACACATGAATTGTATGACATGTATGCAAATCTTCCATAACAAAAAGATCTAAACGCAAAACATTAAAGAGATTTTTTTCGGGTAAAAATTGTGAGAACCAGTTCATAATTCTATATAAAAAAAAAATATTCCAAGACAAAATTGATCAAGTACCTGATGAGTACTAAACTAGATAGATAAGTTTCACTTATAAAGAAAGTTTTAAAAATCACTAAAGAAGCAAATAAGATCAAAATATGGCCAGTGTACAACGTACAGCATTGCTCAAACTGGGAGCACAGCCCCAAAATTTTGAGATCCTCCAACACCTTCACCACATAAATCGCTAATTCAGAAAATGTAATCATATTCCGCATTTTTATTCAAAACTGAAACAAGATGGCTCTTGGACTGATCCCCAATGTCCAGATGCAGATGCCCACGAGCAGAAGCAGAGGAACTTGCATTCTTCTCAGCATTATCCTTTGAGGTGACATGCGGGGCAATCAGTTTTCAGTTTTATTCTCACAGACCTGACGAGCGGTTGGCATACTCCTGAACTAATGCCCCAAAAAGTGAGGGTCTATTGATTAAATTCGCCGGAGCATCAAATTCCTTCGCTAGTCCTGTGGAAATTGACATGAACCTCAATGAAATCACAAGGTGAAGAGCGAATCCATATCTGTGGATTGTGGTATTTGGTGTTATTGTGGTGATGTTGCACCACAATATCACCACAATATTGCCAAATATCATCAAATCTGCACCTATCTGTATTTATCTTATCAGCACATTATATTTTTTTTTCAAGACGAGACACTGTTTCCATAAACAAAAAACTAGAGGGAAAGATGAAGTAGCAACAGTTCAGAACTTATGAAATGCTTACCTGCATCTACAACCAGCACTCTATTGCAGTCCATAACAGTGGGAATTCTATGAGCAATGCTGATAATGGTACAGTTTGCGAAGTCTTCACGGATGATCTTCTGGATTAATCCGTCGGTGTGTGAATCCACAGAAGCAGTTGCCTCATCCATGAACAAAATACGGCTTTTCTTCAACAGAACTCGACCCAAACAGAAAAGCTGCCTCTGGCCAACGCTCCAGTTCTCTCCATTATCAACGACTGAAAAAAATTGATAGATTCTTAAAAGAAATAGGGAAATATTTGTAGTGGTTAGTTTAAGAGTAGCTGAATTGCACATTCTCAATGTAGTTGGCATCTGTTGAGAGTGGGTGTTGATCATCCAGAGTGGTCCAAGTTTTTGTCAAATACAAACATCAATTAATCCAAAATTTTCGGTGCAATGATAATGTAAAACTAATTGAGCGAGAAGGAAGAATTGGTTCGCCCACTTTAGAATTTTTTGACAATCATAATAAAAATTGTCAAGATGTATACGATAAATTGCAGGAATCTCTCTACTGTCGGCTAGAGGATACAGTTGTAAAGTGAAGAACTTGTGTCCTAATTTTGCATTAAAATTTCGCACACCAACAAATAGAGAGAAAAGAATAGAGTTGACTAAATTTTTATGTGTAAGACCTAGGAAAATAAAAAATCACAATGTTTGACCCAAGAAAAATATTACATTTTACTTGTTAAGATTATACACATCTGATTTTCTTTTTAATTGGAAAAAAACTATATTACAAAATGATACACCTCACACTAGCTTTTTCTTTTATGATTGTGGTGGATGTGGTAATGAGAGTTGAAGATGACGGTTGAGTGAGGGCACTTGAATAATGATAGTTAGAGAATACTTATGTGGCACGAGGTGCTAATACAAAAAGAATGGGCCAACCACTAGATCATAAGTCAAAAAAAAAAAAAAATTTTGATCAGGGTTTAATGATCAGAAACGAGTTAAGGGTTTTAACTTCTTGAATACAGTAAATGTTATTTATAACTTGCATATTTTATGTATAATTTATATCAAGTGTTTTAGAAAATATTTTATATTATTTTTATAAGTTAATGATATGTTTTTTTAAAAAAAATTTAAATTTTCTGGCCATATCATAGAGGGAGTTGTTAGTATAATTTATATCAAGTGTTTTAGACAATATTTTATATTATTTTTATAAGCTAATGATATGTTTTTTTTAAAAAAAAATTAAATTTTCTGGCCATATCATAGAGGGAGTTGTTATAAAGCAATTATGAGTGGTTATTTCCATAAGCTGACATCCTTTCTTCTTCCCTCTCCTTTTCATTTGAATTTTCATGTTATAAAAGTTATAAATAGGTGTTATTTTGATCTAATAAATTATTATTGACATTTGTATTGATTTTTCAATAATTTTATGTCTACAACTCAAGGAAGGAGATTAGGTGGCTAAATTCTTATGCTACTTTGGTAAGTAGATACATTTCATGTCTTTGATTTTAATTCATTTTGTTATTGTAGAATTATTCTACCATGCCTCTATAGTGCTTCTAAAGTAATTATTTCACTTTAATCAACAAAAAAATCATATCTAATCTCATTAAAGTTTGGCCAAAAAGACCATACAATTGGAGATGGTCTTATTATCGTGGACTTTTAGAGCACTTAAATATTTTCATAAATTCTCATAAATTTCAGAATTAATCCACACACACCCCTCCATCAAATCAAGAATTGGATTCTTGGTTTCATCATTTGACCACTTAATTAAAAAAAAGAAACCTCGCTAAGGGATTTCGTTCAAACTAGGGCTTTCATCCCACCTACTATAATTTTCCAATTATAAACACCTTAGAAAACTATAGAAATTTCGAGGTTGCAACAAGAGAGAGTCCAAAACATATTATAATCATTTTGTAGCCTTCTTATTTAAAAGTTTTGGAGGATTAAACTCAAATATAAAATTATCTCAGTTTAATCCGTTTGACCTAGTTTTGAGATCGCATCAAATTCATCCACTAAACTTAATTGGATTGGTTCCACCAACTCGACAAATATACTAAGGACATTTTTCTTTTATTTCCAAGGGTTCTTACATTGGAATTCAAGCCCACATCAAATCGGTATCAAAGCCGAGGAAGGAAAACATTAAATGAATGTTCATAAACATATTATTTTTGAACTTTCATATTTGCATTTGGCCATTTATATGGACATCATAATTCTCATTAATTTTTTTTCTAAATATAATGCCTCTATTTGATGATATGATATATTTACTTCGTGATATCATAAATCAATGGCTATATATAAAAGATAAGATTATTAGATCAAAAAATGAATTTAATGAGAATAGAAAGGATATTAGAGATTTATTAAATGATTTAAAGGCTCAAATTGTAAGTAACAATTATTCTCAGAAAAATGAAATTAATATGAATTTTAAACTACAAGAAAAAATATTGAAGCCGCACTTAAAGTTGATATAATTGTAATTACTTTAATTCTTAAATCTCCATAATTTACTTCTAATGGCTTTCTACACAACTTTAATTTTCTTATATTAACTCCTCATAGTCATCATTCTTGTATTATTATGTCAATAATAGTACTGACTAGCAAAGGCTTAACTCATTTGTAGGAAATAAAAAAAATTATTGGTGGTGCCATATGATGAACTACCAACACCTATAGACATTTCATCACTTATTACATGCCACAAGAACTCTTCAAAGAAGTGTTAATTGAGGTCCAAAAAATATTGATGTTGCATGAGGTACTAATGCAAGAAGAATGGGCAACCATTAGACCATAATTAAAAAAATTGGTCGATCAAGGTTCAATGATTAGAAGCAAGATGAGGTTAAGGCCTTAGTTTCTTGAATGCAGCCAATGTTACCTATAACTTGTGTATTTTATGTGTTATTTATGTTATTAAGTGTTTTAGAAAATATTTTATATTATTTTTATGACTCAATATGTTTAAAGTGACTTAGAAGTGTAAATGGCTGGCCATACCATGGAGAAAGTGGTTATGAATGATTATTTTTATAGGTTGACCTAACTTCTTCCCTCCCTTTTTCATTTGAATTGTCATGTTGTAAAAGATATCAGTAGGTGTTGTTTTAATGTAGTAAACTATTATTGAGATTTTCTATTGAATTTTAGAGAGATTTTTAAGTGTGAAACTCAAGGGAGGAGGCTTGGGGGCCAAATTCCTAAAAGGGAGCGGTTGGGTTGCTTGTCTTTATTCTTATACTACTTTGGAAAGTAAAGGCATTCCATGTCTTTGACTTTCTTTCATTTTATCATTGTAGAATCATTCTACCGAGGCATTCGATGTCTTTCTTTCATTTTATCATTGTAGAATCATTCTACCAAGCCTTTATAGTGATTCTACAATAATTTATTTCACTTTAATCTACAAAATAACTATATCACAACGCACATTAAAATTCGGCCAAAATGGCTAGACATCAAGACCTAGCTTTATCAACTTTTGACATTTGAAGCCCTTAAAGCTCTTCATAAATTCTCATAAAATTTCGAAATAATCCACACACACCCCTCCATCAAAATTCAGAATTTCAGCTCCTGGTTCCATCATTTGGCCCCTCAATTAAACCAAAAAACATCACCAAGGGATTTCATTCA